TTATTTTTAAGAGAGAGAGAGAGCAGGGGAGGGGCAGAGAGAGAGGGAGACACAGAATCCGAAGCAGGCGCCAGGCTCTGAGCTGTCCGCACAGAGCCCGACGTGGGGCTCGAACTCACGAACCGTGAGATCATGACCTGAGCCGAAGTCGGACGCTTAACCGACTGAGCCACCCAGGCGTGCCCCTCAAGCTTTGCATTTGTTAGAGGGAACCTTCTCTGCTTTGTGGGGCTTTTGTGAAGACTGAGGATAAAGTTCCCTATTAGCCAATGTCACTAATGCCATTTTGCGTTTCTGAATCGACATTGCCCATCCTTCCCCTTTGCCAAATCCTACTTCGAAAGTGCCCAGACCTTTCCCCCCTCAACAGGTTCTTGTCGCTCTGGCACACCTCTTCACCCCACCCCAGGCTTGGCCACTGCCCCCATGAAGCGGTCGTCCTTTGCTCATGGTGCTGGTGTTCTTGATATGCGGTGGTCTCAATGGCCCTGCCAGGAGACGCAAGGAGATTCATTGCTCAGGAGTTGTTCGTACTCTCTGTAGTGATTAATTTGGACTAATTTTCCTCGTTGCAGACCCATTAGAGGCTGTTAGCAAACAGTGGCTTATTTAACATGCACGTGAGCTGTTCACACCATCTCAGGTCCCATTCGGGCACAGCAGCTTTCGCACACGGGGACCCCGAGGTGGGGCACGGGGACCTCAAGGTGGGGGCACGTGGCTTTACCTCTTTCTGCTTCTCCGTCGCTCCTATTAGACACTAGCACACGGCTGGGATTTGCTAACGGTGCCCCCATCTCTGTTGCTCTCTGTGCACATTTGCAGCGGATTCAGAGTCTGATGCCTCCGTGGCCCTGACAGGAGTAAGCACCAGCTTCAGAGTTTATTACAGAGTATACATTTCTGCCCTCCAATGCAAAGGAATTACTCATATCTTCTCTGTCTCTTCTCTCTTAAATTGTAAAGTCCCAAGGGGAAGAGTTCCCCACCCCCCACCGCCATCAGCTCCCACTGGAGAGCGAGGTCAGGTCTGTGTGCTCAAAGGAAACCCAAGGAATCCGTGGTGTTTCCTGACTGGTCCTGGAGGAAGGCGGGTGCCCTCTGCCACCATATGGAGACCGCGCCGTGAATGTGTATTTAGCTTTGCCCCGTGCAAATAGTGTCTGGGTAGAGTGGCTTTCCAACAGAGATTGTTGGAGTCCCCAGAGGCCGGTTATATGAGCTGCGGCTGCTGACTGGGTGGGGGCTGGTAACCCTGCATATTCTGGAGGATCCATAGAAGGCCCTTCTCCCTAAGGGCATTGAGATTCGGCTGTTGTAAGAGAGAGAGAAAACCGACTGGGACCTGGGGAAGCCTGAGTCTGCCTGCCCTTTGGAACTTGCTTACTCTTCAGGCTTACTTGCTTGATTTGAGTGAACAAACACAAAAGGATTTTCAAAAGAAGATTCCCCCCTTCCCTACCCCCCGTTTTGGAAATACAAAGCAATGTTCACTTAGGCGCGTTCATCCGAAAAGAGGATCAAAGACCCGGTCAAGTTTCTGTAGCGAGATTCTGGTTGCTAAGATCAACCCCCTCCTACCTTTGCTTTATACCAAGAAGTAAGGAGAGGGGTGCCTGGGTGGCTCAGTCAGCTAAGCCCCCGACTTCGGCTCAGGTCATGATCTCACAGTTCGTGAGTTCGA